AACAATTTCCAGATGCATCTCTTTCAAAACTAGTTGTAAAATTTTAGGTTTATAGTTGAATTAATACAGTTATACAATAGTGTACTAAGTATATACCCTATGAGACATAAAATTCAATAAGGTTTTAACCTTTAAAAAAGCTCTCCACTTCATTATCAAAATATACTGTTTCATACAGAAAAACTCATTTTTAATGCAACTAACACTTAGATGTTTGCACACACATCTCTAGTCTGTATATATCTGATTGTTACTAGTAATAGTCAGTTACTTTCTGAGATCCTTGGCACCTGAGCATGGATATAAAGTCATCAAGTAGTATTTAGTGGTAATGTTTTTCACATTTACTAATTAACATGAAGCAAATTTCTATGCTTCTTCCTCAAATATAACTCATTTTTTATTTATTGAAATTTTTATGTGTATTTCATACAGGACATCTCAAAAAATCTTATTCATCTATATATCCACATCCCAAGTGACACCCTCCCATGCCCTCCCATGCTGGAACCCATATACTCTATCACCCTGTTACTGTCCACTGTGTTATCAGTGCTCCCAACTGTTCCCAGTGCTATCATTCACTGAGTCTAGTCAGCCTATCTCTAGTTCCTTGTTTTAAGAAGATCAACTCTTCATCATCTGGCAGCAAGCTGTTGCCAATATTCCTTTAAATAAGATTGGGGTCTGCTGTTCATTTTCCCAGTTCTATGCTGGGTTACTGTCTGGGAGTATCTTGGGCCACCCTGGCCAACAACTCAAAGGAAGTTTCTCCTGTCTGGCATTGTTTCTTGTTATGTAGCCTTTAGCTATGCATATGGACTCTTTTAAAAAAAATTTTTTTTGCTTTGGTTATACTTTCCTTTTGGGTGTTTAAGACCATGCAGTTGGCCCAGATAAACCAATTTATTTTTCCTCTGAAGGCTGTTTGAGGATCTGTTCCTCAGTGGTCACGTGGGCTTAGGAGGAGCTTCTGGCAGTTCCTCTGGCAGTTCCTCTACCAGTTCATTCTATATGAAGATAAGTCCATGGTCCTACTTGACCATGGCTGGCTTTGCTTGGAAGCATGGAGGAAATGTTTTCTCTGTGTTGATCCTCCTCTTTGTAGACTGGATGCTGGTTCAAGTCCATCTGGTGGGGTCTCCATGGCCTCCTTGATCAACAGGACAGGTGACTCTCCACAGTTACAGGACATTTTGAGAGATGCTCCATAGTCCCTTGGAACTTAGTTGACCTTGGAGGGCAAGGAGAAAAAACTGTCCTTTAAGTCCCTCTGACCAAATTAATATAGGCCTCAAAGGATGGCTGTTAGACATCCAAGAAGGATGTCTGACACTTTTAATTACCATGTGCTCTGTAGATAAAGCTTGGGCAAAGACCAAAGGGTCTCAGATAAACCTTGACTAGACATATATTATGTTCCTTGAGCTAGCTGTATGTATAATTTTTCAGTAGGTTATTGCAGTAATATGGTTCCTCTGGGTTTTTTTTTAAATTAGCTGGGCATTATTTATCTCTCACATTGTCTAACCCATCCATCATGGTTCTGCCATTTAAAGTGCCCCCATTTTTCCAATTTCTTCCTTCACAATACCCTTCTCCTATGGTCCTACCTCTCTTGAGCTCCTTCTTTCCTTTATCCCCTAGGTTCCTTGTATAACCTCTCCCCCTTAAAATAACCCCATTTTTTCCATATCTCCCTTATTAACACCTGTTTCTTACTGTTCTTCTCTTTCAGGTTCTTTCTTTTCCTTTACCTCCCTGGTTCTTTTCATTATCCTGGTTCCTATAGTTATGTCTGGATACATACTCACTTATTAGGATTGGTACTAGGAACCACATGTGAGGTAGAACATACATCATTTGTTTTTCTGAGTCTGTGTTACTTCACTTAGTATAAGAGTTTCTAGTTCTATCCATTTACCTGCAAATTTAATAATTTCATCTTTCTTTACTGCTGAGTAAAACTCCATTATATAAATAAACCACATTTTCATTATCTGATCATCAGGCAAGGGACACTTAGTTTGCTTCCATCTCTTAGCTATTGTGAAAAGAGCATCAACAAACATGGATGTACAAGTGTCTCTGAAATAGGATGAGTTCTTTGGGTGTATGCCAAGGAGTGTTATAACTGGGACAAATGGTAGGTTCATTTGGAGTTTTTAAGAGTTCTCCATAATACTTTCCATAGGGGTTGAACAAGTTTACAGTCCCACCAGCAGTGGATGAGCATTTCTCTTTCCCCAC